CATGCAGCTGTGAGGCATCGATGCCCAAGATAGCATGGTTTCCAACGAACAACAGGCGCCTTCTGTCTGACCCTAGCTCTTCCACGCCAAAGAGCTGAGGGGGACTCATCTTGCGCTGGGGCCAGAAAAGTGCTTTGAGCATCCTTTGCAGCGCGCTTCCTTTGACGGGTGGTGCGAAGGCTAACAAATCCCGATCCTGGGCAGATTCCTCCAGAGCGATGAACGGTCTCGGATCGCCACGAATGAGCTCAAAGAGACGGGCCGTGCAATATGTTAAGATTCCGTTCAAGATAGCAAGCGCTCGCCACCGGAGAATCTTCGTAGCATCAAGAGTTTCGGTCCTGTTAAAATGCTGGACTGCAGCACTTGCCATACCAACCAAACCAAGGCAGATCAGCGGTGAAAGGCGCAAGTAGAGCCGGAACAGGTTGGCGCGAGATGCCCACTTCAGAAACAACACTTTGATGCCAAACCCGTAGGATATTGGCATCGTGTAAAGAACCAAAAGGCCGAGCTTGTAGCCCAGGAACCCGACCAAAAACAAGTCCATGTTCTTGTTAATGACTTGAAAGATGCGATCTGAGCGATGGTTTCCTTCCGGACGCAAGTTGAGCTGGGAAAGTTCGGAAGGTTGGGAAGGTGCTTTCTCAGTATCAGCCTGTGATAAGTGCCGAGACGGTTCCAGCGCAGTCATCGTCTCTTCCAAGGCCATCTCAAAGTCTCCTCGCTGCCCTCGTCTGGACTTTAGCTGCCGCAGTCTGTCCAGAGTTCCAGCTGATGCATTTCGGATCATTGTTGAACCTTTCGCTACAGCATCTGTGATTGCTCGCTGGACTGCCTCCCTCGGTTGCCGGAAACCAAACAGCAGCAACAATGCCCAAATCAAGCCGCCTTGGACTCCACTGGATTGCAACTTGTACGCCCATCTTCGCAGATTGGACGCGTTGTGCTGCAGGATTCGTTGATGGTCTTCGTGCGCAAAGAGGGTATCGTAGGTGAAGGCCATGCTGGCTGCGTGGCTTCAAACGTTTGAGACTGACAGTTGACAGCGGACGCCACGTGGGTTACAGCTGCCGTGACGTTGCATGCCCTGCCATGCCTGTCCATAATGTATTGGTGCAAGAACGATGTTGGGATCCGGGCATGCGGCTCTGTAGCGCCACCTCCCCGAGATCCTGAGAGGCAACGCGGGGCAAAGTAGGCACGGGCATGCACAGTTGTTCTGAGTGCTCTGAGTGCTCTGTGCCTTCGCCTCCCCAGATGCCAAAGCATGCTTGATGGTGGCCTCCGACCTTATGCAAACTCAGGGATATGACTGTCAATTTAGGCGCAAAGCGATGCACTACGGCACGAAATCGACGGACTACAGCAAGCATCGGAAAACGAAGCTGCAAGCCAGACTTTCTGCCCGAAACCCTGCCATGCTGTCGAGTCTACGCATGCATATCAAATGCATATCATGTGGGCGGTTCCCAAGCAATGTCATGGGTACAGGTGGATTCTCCAACACACTAGCAAAATGCCTGAGGTGCCAGCCGACCAAAATTTTCACAAAGTGCTTTGATGATTATGGAATCGCCGACGCCCAATTCAGCTGCCTCGTAATCCGGTGCAACCTGCGCCAGCTTGTGCGAATCATTGATGCGAGGAGGCACATGACACCGTGGAAGCTTGGGTCGCGTGCAGGCCTTGTTGATAAGGATGTAAACTGTCGCAATGATGTCCTCAAAATTCAGTGTCAGAGCCCACACCAAGTGGGCATCAAAGCTTTTCATGGCTGCCCTGCTTCTGGCACTCTGCAGCACCAGAAACCGTGACCCGAGTGGCCCATCACCCTCCTGCGGCTGCACGTGCATCAGAAGCCGAAACAGGTTGCTCAGGATGACCTGAGATCAGAGTAACAGAGGGGCTTGGCAAACCTTCTTCACCTCAAGCCCACCACCGTCATCGTCTTGCGCGAACCCTTCCCGCTTCCCTTGAGCTCCTCGATATACAGCACGGCACAACTTGCTTACCTGCATGTCATGAAGCGGATGTCCTCTATCTCCAGCAAGGCTCCAGAAAGCAGGGAGAAGCTGACCGGCTTTCCGACCGGGAACCTGACATAACCCAAGCCGTGCCCTTTACCTGTCGACCTACGTGTCAGAAATGTTTTTGAAGTGAGGAGCCTCCATTTTCATGTAGGAACGAACCAACTGTGCTTCCGACAATTCCGAAATAGCCCTGCAAAACAACAAAAACACGCAAGCATGCAGATGCATACATGTACAATGTATGTGCTTCCGTCCTTCCTCCCATCATCTCCACCCACTCACTCGCCCGCCCACCCAACCCGCCCATCCTCACACCCGCTTGCGCGCCCGGCCCCGCGCCCGGAACCCCCTCCCACCTACTGACGGACTGAACTACATGTTTTCCTGGAACATACGTGCTTACGTGTTTGCCTGTTGCCTCCTGGCTTCCTTACTTGCTTTCGTCCTTGCTTCCTTGCTTTCTCACTCACTTGCACGCTCGCCCGTGTGCGTGCTTGCTGGCTTGCTGGCGTGCTTTGCTCGCCTTGCTCGCTTGCTTGCTCGCTCGCTTTCTTGCTTGTCTTGACATACTTGCTTCATTGTAGTTTACTTCCTCGCTTGCTCTTACTTGCCTGTATGCTTACTTATTTGCTTGCGTGCGTGTTTTCCTTACTCATTTACACGCTTGCTTGATTGATTGCACGCTTACTTGCTGGCTTCTTTTTGAGAACTATATACTTACGTACTCACTCGCTTGTTCATGTACTGACTTACTTACTTGCATGTGTGCTTGCTTGCTAGCTGGCTGCTTGCTTGCTGGCTTGCTCGCTGCCTGGCTGGGTGGCTCGCCGTCTTGCTTGCTAACTACTTACTTTTAGGTGTTGTACTAACATGTACTGACTTATGTATCATGTACAGACTGGCTAACTAGCTACCTCACTCCCTCATTCACGAACTCACTCACCGGCTCACGCGCTAGCTCGCTCACTAGAACAGGGATTCAGAAAGTCACCGACTTGCAGACTACCTGACTCAGTAACTAACCAGCTAATTGACTAACTAAGTAGCTAGATCACTGATTAGATAACTAGCTAACTAGCTTGCCTATTTACTTGCTCGTTTACTTACTGTACCCACACCAATACTTACGAATTACGTAACCAACAAACCGACCAACCAACTAACTGACCAACAAACAGACTCAATCACTCACTCACCCGCCAGTCGCTCACTCCCTCACTCACTCGCCAGTCGCTTACTCCCTCACTTACTACCTCACTCACTAACTGACTCATTCATTGACTCACTAACTTACTAAATAACCAGCTACCTGTCTACTTACCTAGTACTGGTAGGTGCGAGTAGCTAGCAAAAAAATCAACTGGCTAACTTACTCATTTGCGGGCGTACTTACCTAGGCACCTAGGTACTTGCTTACGTGCTTGCTGTACTCAACTGACTGCCTATGTAGATATTGCCGTATGTCTCCCTCGAGTAGCTCCTCCGGCCTGTCCCCGACAGAGGCGTGCCCTGCCGGGACCCTTTCGTGACAGACACGATTTTGCCTCCAGCTTTAACACCCGCATGAGTAATTTATCACGTGCCGGAGCCGCTCTTCTTCACGAAGCTTCGGATCAAAAGCTGGAGATTGCAACTCCTCAAAGCAAGAGCTTTTGATGTTTCCATCAGCTTCGAAAACGGCAGCACATCCTTCGCCTTCTTTCCAGCAGGTCCGCTACCGTGCCAAAGCGACCATGGACCGGTTTCCTGGCTCCGAATCGAGATGTCGGCTGGAAGCTTGGAAAGGCGCCAGGACAGGTCTCTGCGAGGATTGAGGCGAGCACACCCTGGTGAGATGCTGTCACCTCTGGACACTTCCTCGTCATCTCGAAAGCACCGACTGAGTCTGCGAGCAGAGGCTGAAAAAGAGTTCGTTGGGGCAAAGACTCGAGCGTTTGCGCTTTCTCTGTCTCTTTCGACCTGAGGCTCCGGGCTCACAGGCTCACTAGTAGTGATCTTTCACTCATGATCCCTTTATCCCGGCGGAGCTTTGGCGGTTCTGGGGTGTCTGGGCGTTCTGGGCTTCTGACTTGGTGGGAGTCTGAGGCACTCCTTTTTCGAGCCGCCTCCGCCTCAGAGGAGCTACTGCGACAACAGAGTGTGGGGAACACGAGGAAAGCGGCGCGGTGTTCGGGGCTCTGCTTGGCGGGGGCTTCCGGAGTGCCATCTGCCTCAGGCACGGGGCACAGCAGGAACTCAACACCTTCTTAGCCTTGGAGCGGATGGGTGCGCAGCTTCTTCAGCAGGGGCTTGACTCTGCTTGCTGGCACGGGATGCAGGATAGCATGAACTGGAGCATTCCATGCGGTACGATCGAGCTAAAGCTCTGTACCAGGAAGAGAATGGAAGTTCATGCCTGGGTGGGGTTGTCAATGACTCAACTTTCTCCTGGCGTCAGCTGTGTGCAAGCATGACAAGGGTGGAACTACACTACACTCAGGAGCAACTTCCTCCCCAGCAGCAAGATCTCCCAACAAAAAGTAAAGCTCACGGCCTTTCGTGCGAAGGCTGCTTCCAGACTCCCTTTTCTTGGAGCCATTTCCTGGGTGCAAACCCCGTACTGACAGCAGATACGAGAATAAGTTGAGAAGTCTTCGGTTCAAGTCACTCCTTGCATGTGCTGGTTGGCTGCCTGCAGTGCTTGGTGCTCTTGCGTCTGCGTCTCGCTTGGCAATAGATACTAGTGGACACTTCCTGCAAACGGAAGTTGCAAATTCTCGTACTCGTGGCATCTGATATGAGCAGAGAAAGATTGCAGAAGGCAGCAAAGCTGCAAATCACTGTGGCGCAAGCGCACGCCCAGGTCAGACTATGAGCCAATGACTTCGGCATGGACGGAGGTTCTGTAGCCCACTGAAAGACGCGAGAAATGCTGTTTGCAGCTCGACGGGCACCATGTCTCGCAGCTCCACACACCAGCAAGGATGCCTGTGGCATGTCGATGACCTTGAAGTGAGCAGCTACAGATCCGCCTCGGATCACAGGAGAATCTCGTTCTTCAGATAGAACTTGCGAGAGTTGCGGACCTTGCTTTGACGGCGATACTTCGAACTCCATAGAGCCGTCTTCTTGCTCCCGGAAGCTCGTCCTTCCTTTCCACGAATGCGAAGCCTAACACTTCCAGGACGGCAGACGGCCATACCTCGTGGCCAACATCTGGTCACCGTGTCTGGCTGCCAGCTGCTGCCGCCACGAGACGTTCTGCTGAAAAACAGAAACTGCTCGTGTTGTGTTCGGCTGTACTGCTGAGCTCTGCTCTCCACTTCGTGGGGCTTTTACAGATGCCTCGGCAATCTTGACGAATCTTACTCGCAGAAACACTGAGGTGAATAAGGGCGAAGACCTATGTGCCAAGCGGCCTGGACCTAGTTTGTGCGGGTATCTGAGAACCCTGTCTTGAAAAGGCAACGGCATGCAGTCTCGACGATAGTGGCCGACTGAAGTCATGCAACTCACTCATGGGTGTGCTTTTGGTCCGGCGTCTGCAGCTGCGATGAGTCGTGAGCCACGCGCTGTAGTCCCACGTCAACTTTGCTCATCCTGTCCTACGCTGAGGGCATGACCTTATGACTTTGTCGTCTGTCTTAACGAGTCTGAGAAGAGTCTGGGAATCTGAGACCAGCACAATACACCGACAGGTTGTCTGAAAAGTTCTTCCCTGTCTTCGGACAGACCGACGGATGCTCCTGATAGTCGTGTGGTTTTCACTCAGGTGCCATGTTTGACTATGCTCGATGTCTAGCAAGTATACTCTCTGCCTTGCGGAGACTCCATTCACAAGTTTGCCCCGGAACATGCCGGTAGCTTTTCTTACACATGCTGTTCACGCTCTCTTCTGGCCACACACTGCCACCGTCCACTCGTCAATGATCTTTGGACATCCCCAGCCACATCCTGCACCCAAGACCTGTCCTCGCATCTCGCACTGTTTGCCAAAACTCCTAACTCACCCATCTTTGCTACAGCGAGGACTATGAACTGGATTCGCTCTTTCACTTCAGCTCGGGCCTGGAAAAACTTCACTTTGCCCTTTTCTGCGGTCCAGGTTTCTGAGGGGCTCGTGGTGGCCGGGCAGTCAGATCTGGTCACCAAAACTCATCCCGACCACCAAGAAGCTAGTTTCTATCACCAAAACGTGTGCTTGAGGGACCAAGGACCTTTGATTGAGATCTGTTCTGAAGCGAGATGCTTGCCTATAAATGACCCTCACTCCTCTCATACGTTCACGAGGTCGCTAAGCATGTCGCCTGGTAGATCAAGCAGCAGGCGCATGAAGCACGGTTCGCGCTTTTGCATTGCTGAATTGTGCGGGTGGCCCAGGGATGGATACTGGATAGAGGCTTTCGAATCTAGAATCTAGATGTTGCGGGTAGGCGTCATAGGAAACCCGAGCCAGCATGAAAACAAGAAGCATTGCAACTGCTCACCGGAGCTAGCGCGGGAAGCATAAGTGCAACTACATGTCCGTGAGCGGATTCATCGGCGACGCATCGAGCGGGATCGAAGGAGCTCTTCGACATCTCGTGCAGTACATGCAGAAGCTGCTGATTTCTCAATGTGCTTAGGCAACATGTGTCAAGATCACTACCCGTCCTTACACGTAAAGTGCACGCAGGTCTCGTTCGGGTAGGCAACGAAGGCTTTCCCGACAGAATCCTGCTAGAAGCTCCACTGACGCCAAAAGCTTAACCCGTGGCGCCAAAGCCACTCCAATGTGCAAGAGGTCCTTGTCAACAAAGCGCTTGTTGCAAACCGGACAGCATTTGTCGAGTGTGATGTTTACCTGGTCATGTCAGACAGAAAGGTCGGCTTGACCAGGATCTCCAAAGTTCCTGGCCTTTCTCATGCGTTCCTTGGCCCAAGCGCTGAAAGTCTTCAAATAGGCCATAGAACTCAGGTTCTCTTCCAGCATGCCTCAAAATCCGAGCATGTGCTGTAGATGTCTTCAATCTGCGTGCTAAGTGTATTCTTGGCGGGTGGCTAGCACGCTGCCTGTGCAAGCAGAGTCGAGCGCACTTGCTGAGGTAGTCCGAGATGCCCTGCCAGGAAAGCGTGACAGGCAACCACGATACATAGACGAAGCACTCGAGAACACCGGGAAGCTGGTAATGCCTCAAGGGACCAATTCGCAGGCAAGCATGCCAACACCTGCTGCTACAAACGCACGAAGAGTCTGTTGCGTGCACACCTCGCCTGTGTAAGCAGTGCAGATGCTCTGCCTCGTTGGGCGGCAGGTCGCGATGGGCAGCATATCCCATTAGCAGGGAAAGCACGGCATCACGGTACTCCGCTGCCACCTGCAGTCTTGATCTGCATTCCCGGGTCAGCCATGGTAAGCCATAGTCTCAGGAAGAGGGGCCCTCCTTCTTGTGTTCTTCTGGCTTTGCGGCTGCTCCCTCGTGGGCCTCCAACCTAAGTGCGGCTCTCAGCTGACTCTGTGATGCGATGTGGCTGAGAACCTGCAGTGCCAATACAGTACATGCCAATACCATAATCAGTTGTGGCTGGTTAACGTTTCCGATGAATTAAGCGATTCTTGATTGCTCCGTACTTTCCGCAATTGATGGCTCCCAGACGCTCTGTGAAGCTGGCCTCTCGAGACGAGACAAGCTCTTGACTGCTTCCATTTGCGGGATTATTGCTAAAAGCTCTGTTGCCGGCATGCGTGCCATCACACGCCAAAGCCAAGCGCTTCGCAAGGTTTTCCCCACGCATGTTTCGACATGAAATGAGCGTAAACATGCGTAAACTGAATGCGACTCCTGCACGTCTAGGTCCTGAGTCCCTATAGTCCGTCCAATGGTCAAAATATCCAGAACTACAACACCGCCCCCCCTCCCACTTGTAGTCTGTCCAAACCCAAGACTACAAGGCCCCCTTCCCCCCTTTACACTTCGTCCAAGCCCCTCCCCTCCCGCTATCCAAGGGATCCGTTGTCAGCAGAGTACGAGTAGGCTTGCCCAGCGATATGCAGCGGTGATCTCGAGGTTTAAGACCAGCATTGCTTACACTCTCAGCCGGCGATTGCGCAGGAGAATCTTGAAGTTTCAGCTGAAACAGCACACGAGAAACACTCAGATATGTCTCCATGAGCTCCTAAGCCGGTCAGACTCTGACATTCCAACAAGCCAGCCGCAGACAGTCTTGAGCGGAACGCCTCCACCGATTGAGTAGCACAGGTATAGGACCATTTAGCGGGTGTTGTGCCGAGGCCGTCGACAGGTTGTCGTTTAGCACTCAGATTCTGAGGCTAGGACGGCTTGTGGCAACATAGGGCGAACTACAGGATCCGATTCAAATCCTGAAAGCAAAATTGTCGACCAGGCGATGCCTCCTTGTGGTGGCTCCTGGTATTCATCGTCCATCGTCGTCATCATTTTCACCACCGTCATCATCATCATCATCAATGTCAATATCAATATCAATATCAATATCATCATCATCATGGCCACAGCCTGCCCCGTTCGGTGTCGCGCTAGTGCGCTACCAACCGCCCTTCAGCATCGCAAGCGTGTCACAGCCAGCCCTGTTCACCTTCACAGCACGAACTCTTACACATACATATACATATATATATATATGTATGGAGAAGGACTGACAGACAGGCACACAGACACACAGACAGAGACAGACACAGAGAGTGAGACAGACACAGGAAGACACCCCATCGAGACGCCCTGAGCTGAGCATCCCTAAAGCCTGGTAGAAAATCCAGGCACCTTGCACTGGAACGCGTGGAATTCCGAATCTGAGGTGGCTGACAAGATCTGCAGAAAGAGCATCAACGGACGCGCTCTTTCGGCACGGTCTGTCGCCTGTCATGGATAAGTGATGAAACAAATATCAAAGCTGCCGCGTAGCAACTTTGAGGCGAGTGCTGCAGATGTCGCGTCCTGACCACAGCTTTTGTCAAAAGGGCCGGACGAAAGCTACTCAATTGTCGTCCTGGAAACCATCAAAAGCTTTGTCACCGGACATGGGCTTCTTTGGCCTGGCAGCTGCCAGTGCGACACAGCATCCAAACCTATCGAACCGTCTAACCCGCCAGCCAGGCCCAAACACCACTCCGCGGGCCCAACCCGGCAGATCGGCACTGAACACCGACATATCCTCTCACTTGCTGTGGCTGTTGATTTGTCCAGTCTTTGCCACAGACAACAGCAAACGCGTTTGCATCGCAGTCCGTCGCTGCCGGACGTTGCAGCTCCCTGAGAAGCCCGGACAAAAACAGGCTGCAACGCAACAACTTCAAGTTTGCAGATGATTCTCTGCCCGGCGCAAACTGAATAAAGTTGTCGCTAGGCTTGCACCTTGCCATTACCAGTCGGCAATAAGCTTCTGCTCGAGAGAGATCATTCAAGTCAAGGACGAGGATGTGCCTGGGACCGGACTGTGTGAGCTTGGTCTGTCGCAGTTCTGTCGCAGAGCACATCAAACATTAGTGAATCATCGGCACCAAGTACCAACCTTCTGGCGCCTGCTCATCGCCCGAAACTTCTGAGCTTGAGAGTCGCACAAAGCTTCGCGATGCCGACCCTCGCGTCCACACACGATTACTCGCTCCTTCACAAAACCGGCATCTCCAGCCCTGCCGCGCACTGGAAACATGCTGCCCAAGCAGTGCGGTCGCACATTACAGGGCTCTTACGTTACGACTGTTACGAGTCAACAGGCATTGGTTGTGTGGTGTTGCGTGAGCGCATGGCACGACATGGCACGACGGGCGCCGCGCCTGTTTCCGCGCTTCGGCTGTGGTGCGGTGCACAATCGTTCTTTTCCAACGGCGAATTCATGTGAAGAGTTGCGCCACCTCGGATTCGTGAAAGGCGTCACTCGGGTCTTGGATGCCATTGTTCTAAAGCGTATAGCACATTTCGGCAAGATCCGAATTCGCACTCGCATTTTGCCGAAATCGTGCTCTAGCCACCGCGCTTCGATGACTTTGGCTGCGACTGGGGTTTCCGTCTCCATAAATCGTCCCGCCACAATCCGGCGCACATGTTGGGCTTGAACTCGTGCTCTCGCCAGTCTCGTGTGTGTTTCGGGGTGCCGGTGTGCGGTGCACATTGTGGGCTCATGGTTATGGTGGTCTTGAGCGGTTCTTGGGACTCGGTGCTATGTGCTCTCTGTTTGAGGTCTGAGCTGGCGTGGTTTGGATTCGCCAAATCCATTAAGCCCAGGTCTGACATGTGACGGCGCTACTAGTAGTAGTTGTTCAGTAGAAGGCTGGTTTCCCAGTACGGGAATGCGAGTCCAGGCTGCAGCAGGCGTCCTCGTGCAATTGCAGAGCTGCGAGCTTGGGAAGCAGCTCTGCATTGACCCCAGCAGCTTCCTCCAAGAACCTGCTACCAGATGGCGTACAGTGCCTTGTGCAACTCTACCCGTGGACTAACTGCCTACATAATGCATGCAAGCACATGTCATCTGCCATTCAACACCTAGATGCTGAACTCGGAAGTGCCAAAAGCAAACACGGCTTGGGCGTGCCTGAAAAGCTTGGTTCTCGTCTGCGTCATGCGCTGTGCTCCAGGCAGGGAGAGCTCCTCAACTCATGCGCTCAGCAGCGCCTCCAACATATGTCGTAGTCGCCGAACAACGTACCGTATCGGAGTCGTAAGCTTTCCCAAAGGCTTCCCCATAAGATGCTGTATCACGACAGCCGACGATGCATAGCATCATATGAATCATATGCATCTCTTGACCTTGCAGCGAAGGTCCGAAAGCGCCTCCTCCACCTTGGCGACGTAGGCCAGGCCCAGCTTCGCGCAGTGATGCGGCGCGGCCTCCAAATTGAACACAACAAGCTAACAGGCTTACGCGTTAGGCAACAGGAACCGGAGACTCTGTGACTCTTCTCCGAAGCTAGCGGCTAGTCAGATAATCCCTCAGGATAAAGGGAAGGTTGAACGACGAACGGATCGGAGGTGACACACAGAAAGCCACCTCGCTAGCAATTTCTACGATTTTCTCCTGCAGCACATGCACTCCCAGGAAAAGAGAATGGCCATGACGGCGGAACCCCACGCTCTAAGGGTGTCAGGCGAAGGGAGAGCTTATCCTACTGCTCCGCACTCGCACAAAACTTCGCCTTGTCAATACAGGATCCCGGCAAGTTCTCGCACTGCTGGCTCCGAAAACGGGGTTAGCATGTCATGGGCACGAATTCGGAGCAGCTTGTGTGAAGCTCGGTCAGCTGTCCGCGGCGTGCAAATCGACACGAGACGACCGACTGGTGAAAGTCCGCCCTGCAGTTGTTACTTAGTCTTTCCCAAAGTTTGCATCTTACACATGATCGCATTTGGCAGATCCGGAAACTGCGGTGTCAAGAGCTATAATTACAAGAAGCAGTAACAGCAAGGGCAGAAAATCACACCTTGGTGACTTTGCGTGTCGTGTTCGCAGCAGGGAGATGCAGCAAAAGTCGACTAGGTGAGCGAACCGTAGAAAATTGGTGTGAAGCTATTGAAAACCTGGCTGTTAGCACGAACTGACGAAAAGCACAAGAACCCCCAAGAGCATGAAGGAGGCGAAAATTCTGGCATTGCGGAGATTCTGTCTTTGCTATGTTTGAGAGGGTTGTTGGCCACTTGCAGTCAACGATCTGGGACGGCGACACAGACGATTTGATCGCAAAAATCCCGCGCATGTTAGGGAAGCTTCTTTTACCAATACGGGAAGGGCACCTTGAACCGCCTAGCCTCTCACGTGGACAGGAAATCGGCCACACCACAACGGCATCGGGAGCAGTGCGGAGGGTCGGGAATTGAGTTGCCTGATGTTCAGGCATTCAGCCTACGGGCTGAGACTATCTGAGACTGCAGTCAAGCTCTGCTAATGCTTTGTTAGTCTGGGATGCAAGCAGTTGTGGAAATTTGGCAGCGCAATCTAACAGAATCCAACAGCAAGACCAGAAAAGAAGACGATGGTGTATGTCAGAAGCACGACACATGCTCAAAAAACAAACTACAGGCAACGCCAAGAGCACAAGGCTACGAAAGGTGCCATTCTCGGCGAAAGTGTTGCCTCTCAGGTGGTGACGTGAAATAACCTAACCTGTTTTCTCACAACCAGACCATTACCGAGGCAAGAGTGAAGCGGACGACAAACACAACAAGTACAGTACAACGGGGCCCTCATGGCTGCAAGTGCTTCGAAGTTCCAACATTGTTGCCTCTTCACATGCTCGCCGGATGTCCATTCTCGTTGGAGCACACGGCTGTGCGTCTTGTTTAATCCCGTGTCGAATCGTCAGCGGGCCTGTTTGTTCACGACAAGATCCTCGAGGAAGGACAGCACGAGCGAGTCGTGGCCTGATCTGCTCGAAAGCCCGAAAGCGAGTCGCTTGGGAAATGTGAAGAAAGCCTTGAAGGAGACGAAGGACTTCATCTGCTTCCAGCGGCATCTGTTCGGCAGGCTGGAGACGAGGAGACGAGATGTGCGGAAGTGCAAAAAAGCCCCGAAAGGAAGACAGATAACGCCTCGCGTTCTCTGCCTGTCGTCACGACCACCTGCAGCAGTTGCAAAGGACTCTAAGCATAAGCAACACTTCAGCATGCTGTATAGCCCGGGCTGGAAGAACAGCTTCAGCATCTATGGACAGCAGCTGCGGTACGTACCTACGGATGCCAATGCTCACAAAATTCCTGCAGGGTCGCGTGACTCGCAGGCGAAACGCAAAGGATGCAGGGGCACTCGCGAAGCAAGTCGGCTCCATTGGGAGCTCGTCGCGCGCTCCTTCAAACAACCCGAGAGTGGGTGATGCGAGCCGTGAGCACACCGACTCTACATGGTCAAGTACTTGCCATGACAAGCGCCTCAGTGCCTCCACCATCTGAGTAAGAGCAGCATCCGCACGAGCATCCCTCCTTCAAGCTGGAGACAGCAGTGGGCACTACGCGGCTGCTAGACAACAGACCTGCCACCGGCCAACATCGCGCTTGTTTCGCGCAAAACAAGGTCGTACATGGAATGGGCCTGCAAAAGAAATGGAACTGCATTCAAGATAGATCCAAGCGGTTCGCCGCTTTCAATCAGAGCATGGCCTTCCACAAGCGAGCCAGTACATCCTCGGTTGCAACGCATCCCGACCAAAGACATGCGTGTCTGATTGTTGGACGGTCACGGTCCGACATGCATTGACAGAACCATGCTTAACTTGATCGAGTTGCCACTCTGGCACGTTCTCTCAGAAAACCTGCCGCAAAAGGCAGAAAATTGGTGCCAGCCAATACTGTTCAGCGTTTTGAACTCCATGACTAATTGCATGCGTTGAAGAAGTTGTACTAGGCGACCGGTGCCGCATTCGTGCTTTGGCATGTCCTAGTAAACTGACTTGCAATCCTTTCTGATTTGAGCTGGCCACCGCTTGGCTTACCAGTAACAAGGACTGGCAGGCCGTGGCATAAGCCCGGCTTGGCCTCCCTCGACAAAAGACAACAACAACCCAGGTCTGTACCGCATCTGTGTTCAAAAACAGACGATGATAGGAGCAATACGAACCATGAAGAAGATAAAGTGACAGCTACAAGATACGGACGAAAGTGAAGAAACTAAATGAAAGTGACAAGATACTAATTCGTCTAGGCCTCGGCCGAAGCGATCAGAGGTCTCCTTCCCGTCCGAATCCCCTCCCAATAACCCCCCCGCCGTCAACCTGCTGATTGGCCCTGATGTGCAGACAACCTCCACGGCGCGAAGCGTTTACAATTACGACAGCGATGATAGTCAATCATACATCGACGATGCGCGCGTGCGGAAAAAGCGGTACAAATCCAGCGAATTTGAAACTTGGTGCACTTCCACTTCGTCCTCAAGGTACGAATTTCATGCGAGTGGCTTTTGCATCTAGGACATGCGATCGCTGCGCAGAAGTGCATCTTTGGGTTTCCGAAGCCGACAAGTGGCCGGCAGCCGCCAGGATGCTCCAAATGTGCATTGAGTGTTTCGTGATGCGTGAATCTGCTGGCTAGAGCCCGCATGATTCTCCAATCCACACTTCTTTCGTCTCGATTTTCTGTAGTTGTTGCAGTCGCAAAGGCTAGCCTTGGTTTCGGTCAATGCCTAAACGAACTGCACTATTTCTGAAGAAGCAGGTTTGTCCTTGTAGAAGCACTCAATTGAAGAACAGCCATTTCGATTACGGAACCTTCCTCAAGTCAAGGACTTCCGGCTGAAACACTGGGGTATAGGCCACACCAATCTGAAACAGGCTGGAAGTGTAGCAAAAGGAACCCGAAGACTCGCATTGAACGGCAACATGCAAATTTCGACGCACAGGGCGACAAATTTCAGCGGTCGTAACAAAGCAGCACATCCGCTGTGTTTTGATGGCTCGCACATGTCTGTTGGGCAGCAAGCATCAGAGCCACTCAAAGGGAAAAGTAACTGCAAAGAGACGTGTGGCAAGCATCCAGCCTTCGCAATCCTCGACCCTGCATCTAACACCACGCTCCAGAACTTCAGTGAGTCGAACGTCATCCTGCACGGATTGGAGATTGGAAAAGCGTGAGGCATGAGGGGTCGCCAGCTGGCAGGCCGCAGTCCTCGTCTGCTTCCAGGAGCAACTTCAGCAACCTCACCCAGTAGGCGAAGGAAAACGCTCTTACTTCTCTGGTCGATGCAAGGGATGACGAAATCTGGCGATGGTAGACACCACAAACAGCTGTACTCAGGCGGAAGCAACGTGTCCATTGCACGCAACAAGGATGCCGGGGATATCGCACCCTGTCATGGGTGCACGCTTTGCTGCGCAACTCACTAAACATGCAGAAAACTGCAGGTTCCGGTTCCTGTGTCCTTTGGTCTTGGGGTAGGCGTTCCTGTGAAGAGGAAGCGCTCCCGGAGCTGCCAGGTGCCTAGACGGAGCGACCGCGACCAGCCTGGCCCAGGATGGCTTCGCGCTGCTTCAGCAAAAAGGACACGGCGGCCTCGGAAACGAATCTTTCCAGTACAAAACACGGTGCATTCACGTGCTCGTAGGAACGGATCTCTCTCACTTCCCTTTTTCCAGTTCCTGCAAGGCGTTCCCGAATTGGCTCACAGATGAGACTTGGCTTTGGAAGCTCGGAGTGATGTGACGTGAACACGAAAGTCCTCGAGTGCATCGTGTTGGTCACAATTCTTTCGTCACAGCACGCTTCCGACTGAGTTTGGTGGAATGGCCGGCGGCCTCCACGGAATCCCGTAGAAATAAGCTGCAGGCCTGGACTGAGAGATAGACGAACATTGCACACACCGCTTCGGGTGTACGCCAGAGAGCTGACCAAGGTCTTGAAGTCCTGTGGGGTGTTGAAACGGCGACGAATGGCCGCAGGCTGATAAGCAAAGAAGATACGCAGGGGCGGACAGCCCTGCATTGGATCACGCCTGGGCTAGACAATACTGTGGATGCAGACTACAAGCACCGTGGCCAAGCCGGTAGTGTCCTGAATATCAGGATGGAGGAACGCTTTATGGTGGACATGCCAGGTGTGAGCGTTCCTGTCCATGGATACTGGTTATGTGCAAGGATCCGGGTGCCCCGGAGGATGGTCTTGGCAGCCGGTTGCAACCTTCTCTTTCAATAAGAGGCAAGGGTCGCAGCGTCTCATGACACAGGTAAGTTGCCACAACTTGACTCGTGCTCGTCATTGCTCGTCACTCAGGGGAGGGGTCACGTCGTAAGGCCACGAACCATATCAAGCCTCTTAGGCTGCAAAGAACCCATGTGCAAGATGACTCGCACGCGAGGTTTATGCTGAATTATGAACATCGGGACTGTCGCGCTGGAGTGCTTGCACAAGGCCTTTATCTGGCCTGAATTCGTGCCAGTTCTACGGCTGCCACAGCAATTGACGAAAAAAGTGCCGACCTTCGTCGATGGTTCAACGCAAAGTGAAAGAGTTGGAGCACCGTCTCCTTGGACGGCCAGCCCTCTCACGGGCTTACAGGTGGTCCTGTCAAGCAAGATAGACAACACAAGCGAATGTGGGGCACGAGAAAGGCAGCAGAGCAAAGACGAACGAAGTCATCCCAAGCGAACATAATGTAGCGCGTCACTCCTCCAGAACCTTTCATCATGGCCATAAACTCCTCAAAGTCTATGATGCCATCGCCATTGCCTCTGAATGCATTAGCTGCGCACAGGAAACACAGCCAGGACTGCTTAGGCACCGCATTTGTTAAAGCTGCTGCCAAGCAGCTGTCTACCTCCAACATCAGTTCAGCAATGGCTTTGGCGCCCAATGCGTCCTCTACTTCGCTGTTGCTGAGCACCTGCAAGGCATGGCAGGAAGGCTGCTGCTGCAAATGCCGAGGCCGTTTGTGAGCACTGTGAAGGCAAGCTTAACTTAACACGCTTGCAGTGAGATCTCCGAGATGGGACGTCTGTGTGGTAGGGGGATAAAGGCTCAAGCACACTCTGGCAGCCGCTCAGTAACTTAAAACCAGGTAGTGGCCGGAATCCAGCAATTCCGCACCGCAATGAAACCAGTGCAGGTCTGCGATCCGATGATATCCGCCTGCTTGAGCTCATCTTTGGAGATATGCCCATCTCCATTTCTGTCGAACACCCGGAAAGCTGCCCAGCACACGTCCTCCTTCATGTACTGTTGCCTGGCGAATGTGGGAGGCATGTAACTTGCCTAACGTTTCAATAGAGTTGAACAAGAGCAGGACTGTAATACATCATGTACACATCGCGACTGCCTATCGAGCGTTGCTGCTAGGAACTCTGTGTAGTCAATGACACCACTGCCATCAGCATCAACACCTTGCACCGGCGGTTGCTGGACGGGCCGTCACATGCATCAGGACAAGGATTTGCAAGAAGCATTGCAGCTGAGCCGACCATCGAGAATAGCTGCAAGGTCCGGGGGTATGTCTTTCAGGCCGGATTTTCCCAAGCCGTCCTTCAATTCTGCATGCCTTGGTCAACAGGCAAAGCAAAATCAAGACCTTCGGCACCAAACCCCACCTAAAAACTACACCCCAAACCCTAAACCCCACTGCTCGCCAGGCCACGTCAACAGCCCGTCACCATTCTTGTCCAAGCTCGTGAACACATCTCGAAGGCTCTTAATCTGATCCTGCCAGATGCTGCTACGTGCTGCGCATTGATTTGCACACACTTCACAACCTTGATGCAAACACTAAGCGGAGACAAACTCTTGCCCTGCGTCTATGTTTCTGTGACTCCTCGTTGAGCTGCCCAGCAATGATGTGCAAAGCTGCCTGTCATCTCAGGCAATGCTACGGACAACGCTGACTCAGCTGACAAGCCCTCGACCCGTTCCACATCTACTAAGGCCAGAACATCAAGTTGAACAAAACTTGGTTAAAGCGAGCTTAAACCAACCACCCTGGGTGCTTTCGTTGTTGTCGGCATGTCCGTATGCCATACCATCTTGCACAGACGATCACCATCCTCGCTTAAGAACGAGAAGACTATCAAAACAAGACCGAAACCGGGCAAGAAAATGATGAAAAAGAAGAAGAACAACAACAACAGCAGCAGCGGCGGCAGCAGCAGCAGCAACAACAAGAACAACCAACCACAACAACCACAACAACCACAACAACCGCGACAACCACAACAACCACAACCACAATTTCAATTGGACGCCGTGCGAGCGGGCTCAGCACGTTGCGGGCGATTCTACACCACAACCACAACCACCACAACCACAACCACAACCACCACAAACCACCACAACCACAACCACAACAACCACAACCATAACCACAACCCCAACAACGATATTGAGTAAGTTGCATGCAGCAAACAGTGCACCCAGTGCTCGTGTTGCTGCCACGTCATCATTTGCCTGGTCGATTGCGAGCCCTTGCCTCTGGAGGCACCGTGACAAACGGATGGGCGAGTCGAAAGATGCCACATCCTGAGGCGACTCGTTCCCCACCTGAAGGGAATTGTCCTCAAGGCGAAAGACTTTGCTCTGGTCCTTCGTAGACAGTTGAATCTCACTCTCACGGCTAGTGCACCGCCCCGGGCTGATCCAAGTCGTGGTTGTGCTAATTGCTCCTATCTGCCATAGCATTTTTGGTATCGAATCCAAATCCTGACTAAGCACAACGATGCGAAAGCAGGTAGAGTCGGCTCGCCGTGCGGTTCTTGGCTTTGCCCCATGCCATAGATCGAAGTCGTACTACTCAGCTAACAATGGAAACAATACACAGCGACTGTGAAATTCATGTCACAAACGGCAGGTACACAGTGGTGATCAGCCAGTGCATCCACTCCGATGACTTGGCTTCGTTGGGCAAGGCTTATCACTGCAGTCCTTGACCCCCTGCTGAAATAAAACTCGCACTCGGTCAAGTCATGTCCGCAGACGACCCTTGGTTTAGCTGTCAGAGTGTAACAGCAGCAGCAGCAGCAGCAACAACCACGACGACAACGACGACAACAACAACATCAACAAGAAGAGGAACTGCAGCAGCAGCAGCAGCAGCAGCAGCAGCGGCAGCGGCAGCAACAGCAACAGCAGAAGAGGAAGACGCACAAGGAGATAATTTGATCGACTTTGCAAAACCTGTGGTTTGTTTGTAGCTCTTTGCATCGGAGACTAACTTTGGCGGAACATGTGTTTGATGTTGTTGTTCTTGTTGTTCTATCATGGAGGACGGGAAGTGTCGCAAGTACTGTTGTGGCACCATCGTTTGTGCAATGTGTCAGAGTGAGCGCAAGTTGGGCTCCAAATTGTTGTTGGCTTGCGGTTCGTTCCACACTTATGGCATGGCTCAAAGGGTTGTCGACAACTTTGAGCAAGACAAGAGCAAGCAGGTGCGAAGAGCGGCAACCAGGTTAACCAGTCCGGCAACAAGGCAAGCCACCATAAGGCCAAACCCCTAAACCGTCACTGCAAGACTCTAACCCCAAAGCCTAACCCCTAAAGCCTACAAAACCCAACTCAAAACCCTCAAGCCCTAAACTCGACCTGACCCCACAGCCGAAAACCCTCGAACCCCAAACCAAACCAAGACTCTAAGCCTGAACGCTGAAACACATAAACCCAAGACTGCAAACGCTAGAAGGCTGACAATCCCAAACCCAAGACTCTAACCCTAAACCCTCACGGCCAAACCCCAAATCTTAGACCCAAGACTCTAAACCCTGAAGACCCGCGGCCCAAATCCAAATCATAAACTCATAAACCCCAGAGTCTAACCTTAAGCACTCAAGGTCCTAAACCCGAAACCTAAACCTAAATGTGCAAGGCCCTAACCCCAAATCCCAAACCCAAGACCCTGAACGCAAGACTCTCACCCTAACCATAAATTAATTAACCCTCACGGCCCTAAGCCGAAAAATATAAACCCTCACGGCCCTAACCCCAAATCCTAAACCCAACACTCGAACCCTGAAGCCCCTTCGGCCCAAACCCCGAATCTTGGACCCGACTCAAACCCTAAACCTTCAAGGTCCTAACCCCAAATCCTAAACCCACGACTCTAACCCTACATGTTCAAGGCCTTAACCCCAAACCCGAGACCCAAGACTCTAACCCTACACCGTTACAGGCCGTTACACCCTCAAGGCACTATAACCCTACATCCTAAACCCGAAAATCCCAAAGTGCGAACGGCCCAAACAAGGTCTGAGACTTTTGGGTTTTGCAGTTCAGGCTACGATTTCGTGTTGAAGGTCGTCAGCGAAGTCACTGTTCACACCTTCCTCACACCGCTGGAGGGGTGGACATCCCTCCTCCCACCCACCGAACCCCTTCCAAAGACACATGAACACCCCCCCCCCAACCCCACCCCGACACCCCTCCACCCACACACCCTCCAGAAACACCCGGCGCACATCCAGCAGGGCATGCACATACACACACACACACACACACACAGCACACATGCGAGCAAAACGATGGAAAAAATAGAGTAGGATAGACCCGAACTGCAAACACCGATGCAATCCGATACAAGT